TGAATGAATGTGTGCGTGAGGTCAGGCCAAGAAGTGCAGAATAGTGACACCTCCTCCTTGCCTGCTACCTGGGTCTGAAGATGGGACCGCCCCTTCCCGAAGCAGCCTTGCCCTCTCACCTGTGGCCTGTGCGGGTCCCGGAAGCCCCTTGCCCCCCTGCAGATAACCGTGAAGTACTCTAAGCCTGCGCTGGGGCAGCCGGCCTGGCTCTCAGCTTCTGCTGCCGCAGCGTCTGCTGGCAGTAGGCCAGGCTGCGAAGGGGAAGGGCCCCCTCCTGCTGGCCAGGAAGGGACCAAGCCCTGCCCCCTGGGCTGCCTGGCAGTGCTGCAGCCACTGCTTGCTTAGGAACGGGCCAGGGGGTGGAGGTGGTTTTAGGACTAGACCTCTGGATCCCAAAGTTACGGGATGAGCATTGTAATTTCAAGGAGGGTGCTCATGCGGAGGAAACAACTGCTGGGACTGCTTAGCGGGGGGACACCACCAGCAAAAAGGACAGAGGGCTTCTTGGTTCCAACTGAATAAACAGCACCACCTCCAGGCACTAGCCACCAAGGGGGCATTGGTCCTGGGCTTCCCCAGCCATTAGCCAGCCATCAGCTTCTAGCTAGCAGGGGGACTTGGGGGTGTAGAGGCTTGGGCTAGGCTGCTAAGCCAAGGAGGGGTCTCCTCCCGTGTAGACTGGGTTCAGGTCACCTCATGCCGCAGACCAGTAGGGAGCAGTGGTCCAGATATCAGGAAACCTCCGCTGGCTCTGTCACTCTGGGCAAACTTCTTCCTCATGGGCCTCAGTCTCCTCAGCTATCAAATGGGGCGACGGGGGCGAGCAATGTAGACCCTCCCACTGTGGCTCCAGGAGGGAAGCTGGAAGAGTTAGAAGATCTACTTTCATTAATCACGTCAACAAGTATTCATGTGCCTAACCGGGGCTGGGTACTGCGGGTGTTCTCCCCTCACGGACAGATGGGACTGACTACAGAACATCACAGGAGCGACCTGTGATGCCTGGGAAGGATGCCTGGGAAGGGATCTGAGGCGAGTGAGGGCTCCAACCACAGACACCGGCCCAGGCCAGAGCTGCTCACTCCAAGTGTTTGCAAGGAAGGACTCAGTGTCTGAAGAGTCATGGAACATGTGGCCGTGTGACTACAAATGCTTCTCTTCCATGCAGAATGAAAACGCAGAAAGATCTTTGTGCCCAAATAGCGAGCTGGCTGGAAGCAAGATAGGTCACGCTATCCTGTCCCAGTGTCTCCCCAGGAGCGTGTGCCCCTGGGGGATCCTGGGGAGCAAGGAGGGTGAGCATGTCCCTTTCCTGGCTCCTTCCATCTGCAAACAGAAGGCAGGGTCAGGGGAGTGTGTTGTGTTGGGGCTGAGGTGGCCTTGTGCTTGCGGGCAGCAGGCGGAGCCCTTGATACCGAGTATCCTGGAGCCTCCTACGACTGAGCGCGCCTGGTGTGCTCCACTACCCTGGGACTCAGGCCAGTGAGTTGGAGTCCTGGGCCCCCTGTAATGGGAAGAGGACCCTGCCCTGTCCACCTGGGGAGGTGTCCTGAAGGCCGGATCTGCCCCTCACCAGGGGCCAGGCTCTATTTTCTTGGAACTCTGAGCAAGGCCACAGCACCCCTCACACCCATGGGCAGCAGCCTGGGCCTCGAGGGGCTTCTCCTAGGGCTGCACAGCATCCGTCTCTTACCTAGACTTTCTGGGCCCCTGCGGGCACCTGGACAGCAGCCAGCACCAGGCTGGGTAGGAAGGAAAGCTCAAGTGTAGCTAGCCTGCCCCTTCCACGGAAGAGAGGGTTCTGGAACCCGCCAACCCTGAGACATACACCTTCCCCTGGCCACCACCATTCCTCACTGACCTGCAGAAACCGTTCCCCGGGCTTGAGGGGCGATGTCTGGCAGCACCTCTTCGCTCTGCAGAAGTGGAAAGGGCACCTGCAGACAGGTACTGGCTGCCAGGAGTCCTGCACTCCCAGTGCCATGGGTTTGGGAGGGCAGAGGATGGAGTGTTTGTTTGCAGGGAGCACCCTGCGAGCTTGCTGCCACCCCTGTCCACCCCTCCACAGCACCCCGCACCCCAGCCCAACTCCATACTCACCCTTGGTCGAGCCAGAAGACTGGGATACACCACAAGGGTGAGGGCAGCAAGGGGCCGAGAGACCCATGCGCCCCAGGATCAAGTTTTCCTCAACTGAACCACCAACCCGAAAGTTGCTAAGGAACTGGATCACCACACACCTTGCCTGTTCACGTTTGGGCCTGCCGAGTCCCAGAAGAAGGCTGCCGCGAAATCATCTGAGAAATCATTTCCAAGCCTTGCCACCCCTTTGGTAAAGACTCCAGTTCACTTGGACGTCGTCCTCGGCTGATTCTACTGAAGAGACGTAAGCAGGGCAAGTCCCAAAGTTGCTGCTGCTTTGGCAGCACTGCAGGCGACAGTGGCCCTGGCTCCCTGTGCAGGTGTCAGGAAACGGAAAAGCCTGGACTTTGTCTCTTCTTTGCCTGCTGTTAGCCTAACCATGAAAGTATCTCTTTACACAGAATACTTAACAGATTCTAATATATATTTGTATTTCATTTTGTTATAGTATTTTTATATGTTAAAGTCAACATCCAGTGTCTTGCTTCGCTTTTCAGATGCTATGTAGTTGTGACATTTGGTTTGGTTTGGGGTGGGGGGGGGGTTCTGTAGTCTTGTTTGGATCACTCTTTTAAAGAGACTGGTTTAGAACAAGCCCCTGGGGGAGCGACACCTGCCCTGTCCTGAGACGTGTTATTTTAGAACATGTTGGATATTGTCTGTTGTCTTCCTATGAACATGAAATTGATTCACTCAGGTTCTGCCTTTGTTGATCTCTTTTTCTGCATTAAGGATGAGCCCAGGGCTGCTGACACACAGCCTCGCACGGGCGAGAGTTTCTGGGCTGCCCATAAACCAGCCACAATCCAGGCATGGAGCCCAGACACAGCACGTGTAGGGCATCTGCCCTTGGAACTCTCTAGCCTTCCTGAAGTGGCAAAGGAGGACTGTTCCTCCTGAAGAAGGAAGGGGAGGTCTGGGGGGTGGCTTAGTCATAGCTCCCTGGGGATGTCAGTGTGAGAACAGAGCCTGACACGGCACAGCACACACGGATCTGGGGAGGCTGTCCATCCTCACTTCTCTCCAAGTGTCACACCCACGTTTTGTAAGTTTGTGTACAGAGCCATGCCCATATTTAACATGGCTCTGAAGGTTTTAGAGCGTCAGGGCAACAGATTGGTGCGGCTTCTCCAACTGTCCTGTAAGGTTGACCTGTCAGGCACCAGAACAGTAGTTCTTAGGGATCAGTGGAGAAAGGAGGCAAACCTACTTCTACAGTGGTTCTACTATGACTTCAGACCACAGAACTGCACTCAAATTGAGCTTTGTAGGACGAGTGACCTCAGTGTCTTGGTGAGGCCAGGCCCTGGCAGTGAGGCTGGGCAAGCCCCCTGACACCAAGGGGACCCCGCTGGCCCTCCTCTAATGCAGGACCATAAACTGATTTCCCGCTCGTGGTGACGGTCACATATGCCACACCTTAACAGCACACGGTCACCTTGAAAGTGGGCAGTGATGGTAACTGCAGTGCCTTCAAAGCAATGAGGGATTTGGGAGCAAATGTAATGAACCAGGTACAGGACAGAAAACAGGTTAAAATAGGGTTGTAAGCTCAAGAGCCTGGAGAGGCCAGTAGGTTACTTACCTAAATGAATCAAGTTGGCGCATGCCCTTCAGCCCATCATTTGTACTGCCACTTCTGATAAAGCAGCAGGGATAGAGACCTGGTTCCCTACTGTAAAGAGCAAGGGACAAATGGTAAATGAGGCAGACTGTGATGACCTGAAGGGTGAGCTTTCCAATCTATCCAGCTTCAACTGATTCTTACCACGCACTAATTTTGTCAGATCTTCATTATCTTTTTTTAAAAGAGAAGCTAGAAATCAATTTTTATGTAGACACTCAGTTTTAAAATACTGTTTTTTAAACACGGGCTAAATAAAACACAACTGTCAGCCACCAGTCTGCAACCTGAGTTAGAGTAAAGTAAGTGGCACATTTCAGTTACAAGGAAATATCTAGCCAAGGGAATGGGCACAGCAGGGCTTGGCTGGGGGGTGGAGGGAGTCGAAGGGATGCCCAGGCTTCCAACTAGAGTTGCCACACTTCCCCATATTGGTGATAATGCACCTCTATCACCCCTATGTCCTGAGCCCTGAGAGTTCATTTTAGAGATGTTCCCTCACCCCAAGCCAGTCTGCATCTCTCATGTCAGATTCCAGTTATTCTACCACAGGATGAATACTGGAGGAAAAGAGGTCTATTTCAACAACGGAAAGTCCTCATCTGGAACAAGACAGTTCTCCAAATTCAAATTAAGGAGGGCGGCCTGACTGCCGGCTACAGGGTTATTTCCATCGGGTGGAGTTCTGCATGTCAATGGCCACTGTCCGGTGAACTTGTTGATGAAATTGTGGCAGATTCCACGGGAATCACTGGCTCACTGGATCCCTAAATAGACTCATCTCCAGGAGAGTTGAAAGAATATAATGAAACGGGTCATGGATCGAGTAAGTGGAAGGATTTCCTGCCATACCCCAACATGGGCTCCAGAAAGCTGGGGTGCTGTGCACATCCCCCCTCATCTAGCAGTGGCATACCTGAGGTCAGAAGCGCGGATTCAGTTGCTCCTTGCACCTCAGGATGAAGCACCGGCACCTTCCCAATTCTGCCATGGGAATTCCCAAGGATCATCCATTGTGTTTTCTATTCCCTGAAGTCAGGCATAACTCACAAAATGGCCACAGATCTACCAAATGATGTTCCTTTAAGTCCCAACATCAGTGGCCGAGGCAAAAGTAGTAAGAAGTATTGCTTTTTGGTTCCTTCTGGCAACTTACCAACTTTGCCGTAGGCTACAAGTTGAATGCTGGGCTTCAATGCGTTCTGTACCCTCTCCAGTAACTACACAAACACACTTTAATATCAAAGAAGTTTAATACGCTGCAATAAAATAAGCGCCTAGGAAAAGCTCATGGAATAGATGTCAACGTTAGAGAAATCCCGCCCACACATCCTCTAGCTCCATAACCCACCCCTCAAAACCAAACTAGAAAATCTGAAACAACAAAGGAAATCCTTCCAAGCTTGGATTTCAGTGAGGGCCCCTTTACCAATAACAAGAACACAGTTTCCTACATGGTCTAATAGGAAAGTAAAACACAGAAGCACAAAAAGTCCACAAGATTTCAATATTTAAGAGACTTGGTACATATTCAAAGTTAAAATAACTCCAACTTTTATAGCTATACATATTGTTTTAAAGCAACTTAATATATTTTAAATTTCATATATACACTCTCAAAGGTTCTTCAGGTGAGGTATGTAAACATTGTCTAATGAAAAATTTTCAATGTTTCAAACCAACAAATTCACAGCATACATTGAATTTTCTTCCATAAAAGACACAGTATTTTCCTACACTCACTAACATAGTGGAAGTCCAGGCCCAAGGGATACATGCTGATCATCCGGATTACCGTTTGCAGAGATTCTCATTTCACTACTTTTGACAAGACCGCCTTCACACAGGTCAGGATCACACACTTGGTACCAGGAAGGAGCTAGGCCCTCTGAAGACTCTGTCCTTGGGCATCTGGATCGCTGGCTAAGACTCACAAGACAGCAAAAAGGAGCACATCTGAACAACTACGAGATTGACCTCGGCAATGACAACACTGGGAAGAACCAGAAAGACCTTTAAAGGAACGGTAGAGATTCATCTTAGAGCTCCCTGGATCCACAGCCGGATCAGCAGCCCTGCCCTAAACTCATTCTGAAGGCTGTGGCCTGAAACCAATAAAAACCCAACACGGCACCTGAGCTTCAGTTAAATTGCATGGGCCTCCTATGACCCCCTGGCCTCTCAAAGGCATTAACTCTAGCCTAAAAGTAGGACCCTGGGCTGTGCTTTTCATACAGGTTGGGGTTGAATTTCTTAATATCATAATACGTATGGGAAAATAATGCCATGAGTTCACAAAGATGACCAATGCCTGCACACAGGCACTGGCCAATGACCTGGGAGGAGCTCAATTTTGAAAACTACTTGTTCCCTGAGGGTAAACAGCAGGCTTCTATTGAGATTAAGTGAGGCTAATAAAGGGATTCTTTATTACAAGGCCATAAGACTCGGGGAGCCTCAGGGCGGAATTCTATTTTACCCCACATAATCTATAACGCACCCCCGCCCTCCCCCCACCACAAGAAGTAGTCACCTTCCCAAAGACACAACATAGGTCCGCTTCTTTCCTCTTGCTTGCTTCAGGCTCAGCAATGGAAAGTTTTATCCTAATGCACCCACTTCAATCTAAAAAAACACTAGTGAAAAATTCCAAACACCATCATAAATACAAAAGAGAAGACATATTCCAAAAGCCTAAAAAACTACATTATTCTATTAATGGTTATCTGGGTGTGGGGTATTTTTCATAAAGTTCAGGACGGTCACAAGGAGAGGCTGCTAAACAGCTTAGAAATCTGTTGGACTGAACACGCTGGGACGCTTGGAGAGGCAACTGCCCTCTTTGCATGAACCTAAACGATTTAACCCCAGACACGGAGGGGGCTTCAGATATTTCAAACTCAGGCACAGAGGAGGAGTACAGGAAATGGGCTAGCTCTTAAAGGTAGCTCAGATACAGTCAAAGGACTTTTTATTGGCCATTTACATTTTTAATGTGAAAGGTTCTTACACTTATGCTACAGCCAAATGCGTTTTGCCTCAGCTAGATTCTGTAAACCCTACAAATTCATGGAAAATTGATAATTCTTCAGTCTCTATGCCCAATTTTTGATGTGTCTGGTGCTGGCAGATTTCTCATCCATCGCTAGTGTCGTATGATGTGAAGGAGCGTGCAGACAAACAGAAGCAAAAATTCAAGTACAGCAACCTCTCCAGCAAAGGCAAGAGGTCTTAGCAAGAGCTGTTCTACCCCCACCCTATCCTCTGAGACAAGGGCTAACGCAGAGCCCGGAATAAATGCTATTACCTAGAATCTTATTGCTTACAGGCAACACATCAGAAAGAAAACCTGGAAATCTGCTCTGCAGGTCTGGGGGCTGACCACTGACCAGTTTATTATATATGTGTGTGTGTGTGTGTATGTATATATATATATATATATATATATATATATATATATATATATATAATATACAATATATAACATAACCAGATGAGAAGAGGGAACGATTAAAGCTTGGATTTGATGTAACATTACAGATCAAATGCCCCAAACAGCTCTCAACCTGCTGGTTTTTGTTCTTTCTCCATGTGTGAACTGTGTTATGAAAGGAAGTCCACTGCTCAAAATATATTCTTCTACAATACTACAATGCAAACCAACATCACTCAGAACATGAATCTGTACACAGCACATGTAATAAATATTTTTTAAAAACTATTTACAACATTATTTCTCGTGAACATTTAGATGAGAGCAAAGTTTATTTCTTCCTGCAAAGGTTAAAAAAGTTCTGACTGTCTAGTTCAGTGCTAAATTCCCTGGCACCTAGTTACCCTTTCACATTTTATCTTAAAATCAGATTTGCTTACAAATAGCATCTGAAAAAAACATTCTCCAGCATTACTGTTCAAGTGTCTTCCTCATTTGTTTAGAAAAGACAAAGGGAGGCCATAAGTAAATATGCTAATTATGGTTCAAATGGATGACACAAATCCCTGTGTGTCCAGTCCCAAGCTCACCGCAGTCCTGGAGCTGCAGTTCTCAGTCCAGCCAGCCGGGCAGGATGAGAATCGCGACTCAGACAGGGGTGCCCAGGAATGGGGCACAGGGAAGAGGAACCTGATGGGAAAGCATTAGTTCCATTACATTTACGGGTGCTGAATTGCAGACCAGGACTCCTGGGAAGTAAAGCTGCACACATCTTAGAGCAGATGACCTCACTGTGTACCATCAGTTATAGGTGGGCTGGCCCACATCTGCACAGATGCTGAGAGAGGGAGGAGGCAGCGAGCTGAGGCGCTCAGTACTCAGTCAAGGGGCAGGAGGAAACGTGCTTATCTCCCGTGGTTAACGAGAGTGGGAACAGGTGTCTTTCACGAAGGTGAGAAAGACTAAAATACATCTTAATGCTTTCTTTAGGCAACCAGTGGTTTCTCCATATCCCACAGGTATAGGTTTGGATTTCCTTGGGGTTACAACTAAGGCTCATCTCCCTGCACAGGATGTTGCAATCTACAGCTGAATGTACCAACTGTGTATGCAAAATGTGGGCTGCTAGAGGCAAGCCCCGATGCCATACCTGGTACAGCCACACCGACTGTGGGAGACCCACTTTGTTCTGGGATGGGGTGACAGTGGGGATTGTGCTCAGGTTCCCAATCCAGTTGCATCTGCCCCAATACAGTGAGGGCTTCAAGGCTCACCCGTCTGCCTTCACTATGTTGTCTGGGGGTTCAGCGGCCGAGCATCGTAGCTGGGGAGGATGGGTTCTCTAGAAAGAAAACTTTTTTGGAAAGCCCTTTTGACATTAATTTTTTTTGTTTGTTAAAATAAATACTTTCTATAGAAGCATTTGAACAGGAAAATACCACTATTTACACAGTGAAATAAATTTCACAGTGGTGTGTATAAATACGTATTATATATATGTATTTGAAATCATAGTCACATAGTCTCCTAGAACTATTAAGAATGCAGAAATCACTGGTGAAACTTATAACCTTAAGCTATAGTGGCTCTAAAACTAATCCCTACCTGTGGTACAAATATACAAAATTATGAAAATCTTGTTTGTATAGCATCTCTTCCACAAACTAGCTCCCAAATTCTACAGATTTAGCTACAAGACGACATGAAGTGTAGATTACAGAAAACGATTTGAGTGAGAAAGTTGGTAAGGTGACTACATTTGGACCCAATGGCTAACTACGAGAAGAAAAATAGTTATGAAAAGAAATGCTTCTAATACAACATATATATGTTCAGTGAAGCACTTGAAAGGTAGGAGACTTCCCAGAGGCCTCCTGGAAGGGGGCTTGGGGCATAAGCAGAAGAGGGAAGAGGCAAGGTGCCAAAGGTGGGTCCTCAAAATGAGGTGAGTTAGGCCTGACCAGGAGCGGGCTTCACTGGCCAGGCCAGAGAGCTCTGAACTTCGGTCTAAAGCTGCTGGTGGGCTGACAAGGTGCCATCGACATGCTGGTATTTTTAAGAGAGCTGAGGATGGGTAATCTGGATTAGAGGTTCAGACAGGTAAAAAGACCAGCCATTTATATTCACAAGTAATGACCGAAGCTTGGGGAGTGATAAACTTGCAAATATACTGTACATGAATATACTGTATAGCTTCTGGGGGTGAAACTAACACGCTCTCTGCCTGCCGGGAGAGGCACTATTCTAGGCTTTAAGTTCACGAGGAAATCCGTTTGTGTTGAGCACTGCTGTAGGGGAATACCTCTCCATGAGAGTCAAGTTCACCCTGACTCATAAACATGAAGACAACTGTAGTACTTTTAGTTTAAAAGACTTTGTACTTTTAGCTTTAACTAGTTATCCTAGTAGATGAGATTGAATGTCCACGATTCAACAAATACTCAAGCCACAAAGGGAGATATATTTTTTTCTCTAATACACAAGCATTAGTCAGGAATAATGTGGAACAGCAGCTGTGTGCTAAGATCGAACAGGCAGAAACCGTGAAATCTAAAAGGAAAGAGATGTTGCAATGCTGCACTACATAAAAAAATAAGTTTGTGCCTAACTGGCCACACAATTTGATCTTGAATGACATATTGCAAGGGCCAGTAAACCTTTTCTTTAAAGGGTCAGGTAGTAAATAGCTTATATTTTAGGCTGTGTCGGCCACATGGGGTCTCTTTACTCTTTTTTTTTTTTTAACATAACCCTTAAAAAAACAAGGTACAATGCACTCCTCCAATCTCTGGTATATTATAAAACCATGGGCAAGTGGTTCTTTTTTTAATAAGCAATCTACTTCCATGTGGCCTGCCTACTGGGCACCTCATGTTAAATGGAATGGTCCCAGGCAGGTGAGAGAGCCTCTGAGTCACTTTGCTCACTGGTGAGCATAACCGCACACCTGCCCCTCTGAGCACTAACATAAACCACCAGGGCTCTGGGAAAATGATCAGACAAAGGGAAGGTAATGCAAGGAACTGGCCAGCTGTGGCTCAATTCCAAGGGCAGAAGCATGAGCAAGGATGCCTGCAAGGTGACTCAGGTGGTTCCCTGGGTCCCCAGTATAGCATGGCAAGCAGCATCAGAGAGCTCTGGGTTTCTGCCTGAGCATGAAAGTATCTTTAAGTGAAGGAGGTCAGACTTTCATGCCTTCCAATCCGTCCACTGTAGAATACAGCAGTTTGTTCTGACATTTCAAGGCATGAACTATATCGAAGGCTGTCTCAAAAGGCTTCCCATAATTCTGCTTGTATTAAATACAATCATCTTTTTATTTTCTCTTTCTCCCTGAAAAGGACTTGGGAGCAAGCCTGGGGTAGAGTATTTACTGCTGGGATGTGAGGATTGCCCTGCTGATGCCTTACATAGACATGATTTCATACTCAGAAAAATTTCCAATATTTCAGTGGATACCGAGCCATGAGAAGATAAAAATTCATAGTTAAGAATTCAAAATGATAATTATGTTTCAAAACAAAAGGAACAGTCACTGTTTTAGAGCCACTGAGAAACAGATCCTTGAGTTTTGGGGGAGGGGGAAGACAAAACCTTGGCAGTTGACAGGATTTAATCTAATCATCCATAACTTCTCAGTCACGCTCAGGTTGTAATAGGCTCCAATTTTCTATTAGTCTTTCTAAAGCACTTCAAGCCTCTATCTTTCAGTTGCTGGCGTGCCTTTAATAAAATTATTTTGAAAGAAGAGTAGGTGACTGAAAAAAGTTATCAGTGCCAATATATTTTTTATTTTCCTAGAAGCTGGCCAAAAATATTACATAATAAACAATGCCTTGGGTTTATGATTGGACTTTGTTTCCTCTCTGTGAAAAGGCTTTTCCATATCTAAATGTAAGGTTCAGAAAACTGAACATCCACCTAAAGTTGTCTCAACTAATTTTGAAAGAAACAAAATTTGGCTTACTTTAGTAATAAACAAGAAGTGAAGCCAGAATCAGGTCTATGATAAAAACTGAATGAAAGGAGAGGCCCAGGCTACATCATGTTAGAACTCTGCATTCCTAGTTGCTCATGGATTCTGACTCCAGAGGTTAAGGTGGCCTCGATTTGGCCACTGTGATGGGTGATCCTAACAGGATGTGAGGCTAAGGTAGCTCAAGTTTCAGGAGATGGTATCTGATGTGCTGTGGCAATATAATGTGTCTTTTTTGTAGCAAGAAAAAATAAAGACATGTAAAAAGAACAAAATTGAGGTAACATAAGGAGGAAGGAGAAGAAAAGAAGACAGGCGAAGAGGCAGAAGGAAGGAGAAGATAAACCAGGGAAGCTTTTTTATCCTGAAAAAAAGGTTCTTTTCTCAGGCATGGGTCAGCAAACTTTTTCTTAAAGGTCCAGGTAGTAAATATTTTAGGCTTTTGTGGGTCATGTGGCCTCTGTTGCAGATGCCCAACTCTGCTGGAAAGCAGCCAGAGACAACACACAAACAAATGGGAGGGGCTGTGTTCCAAAAACCTTTTACTTACAAAAGAATGACCAGCCCACAGTTTGCAGACCTGTGAAAGATCATCTGTCGGCCAAATGAGACCCTGCATGGGCTGACCTAAAACCAAAAGGTGTGGGTGTGGCAACTTGGGCCAGTACCTTGGGAAACTCCAGCCCAGTCCCAGGGGCAGTGCCAAGACCCAGACTCACTGAGGGTGACACTACAGCATCTCCAGCTTGCCTCACATAGCATGTTGCCCTTTCCTACTTGGCTCTTAGGTCCATCGATCAACAGGCAAACTGCCCACAAAAGATGGTGACAGCTTCAGTCATCACTACAGAATTCATCACAAGGGAGAAAAGAGTCCAAACTTCAATTCAAAATGACCGTCTTGAAGTGATGTTTTACTGATGACCTATCTGAACAGTGAGAAATTCACCTGCACAGTATGTGATGCGTAGAGGATCCTATTAAAAGCACCACCTTTGTGAAAGGATGACTAACACCTATCTATACTATGCAGGAACAATGAGGCACGAAACCCACAGCCTAAGATTATTTCTTAAATAAGGCTTGTGTAGAAGTCTTTAATGAAGTACAGACACAACAGAATTGGCCTACCTAAGGGAGCCAAGGGACTAGCAACTGCAGGTTAACAGACATTAATAACATTTGTATATAAGAAGCCTCAAGAGCACAACAAAGGTTCGTGGCCTTCCTGCTGCGCTGCAAGATTGCTACACGTCTGAGGAAGTGCTAGGGGTGAGGCTCTGGACCCCAACTGAGGGTACAGTCTCCATGCTGTCCTCCCAAACCCAGGGAGCCTCAGGGGATAGAAAATGGGAGATAGAAATGGGTCTCCTGAAGAGGGCTCACCTCTGGGGAGCTATGGTAGAGCTTCAGTGATTGCTTCCCAGGCGTCTTCCAGCTCCTCCAGAAGCTTAGAGGAAATACCAATGTTCTCTGGTCATCAACATCAGCTCCAACATCACTTCACTGAGCACAGGCCCAGGAGGAGAATTCCTTTCAAATTTGCAATCCAGAAGGTGGGACAGACTGCCTTTGCATCGAGTGGCAAGCCACACTGTGACAATGGCTATAGGAAGGAGGTCTTTGCAAGAGAGGGAAGACAAGGGGAGACTCGAGATGAAACCAAGGCTTGGAGGTGTCTGGGAGACAGGTTTGCCAGCATCTGTTGTAAGTGTAAAAGGGCTTCCAGAGTCGGCCCTCAAGTTTGCTTTTTTTCTTTCTTCTATTAGTAAAGTTAACTGAATAAGCAAAAATGAGATTCAACAAATATGAAAATAATTCTAAACTTTTAAGTGTCTTAATTATGTAGAATCCCAGTCTATTTAAATGTGGTCTACTATAAAGTGTAAGTTGATTTTAAAGATGATCCATTGCATTGTTAGGTGTATAAAATAAATACATAAACATTGATACCTTATCTCAAATGCTGCCTAGAATGGGAGAGAAGGCTATTATCTTGAAGTAAGCTTTTAAAAATGAAAAAGAACTTAGAAAAGTAATGGAATGAATTATAAATCAGCAACTGGAAAAGTACCACCCACTTACAGCCTCACATCCCTAACCTAATCCAAGCACCCTTACAAGGTAGTCTATATGCAGCTAAGGGGGCACCTTGAACGTATTTACAGGGATCAGCACACCTGACATGGGCAAACCTCCACCGTTTAAGTCACCGCAAAAACAATATCCAGTGACGACTATATGAAAAGATTTTTAAAAACTTTAAAACCACTTTTATAGATTAAACGAACCTACTTAAAACAGGTTAATGCTTCTGTGCAACTTAATGCTGAGAAAGGTTGCCAACATACACACTCAGCAGTTTCATTAATATAGGTCGCTCCTGAATGGCCAAAGTCAAAGATATTAAAAAGGAAAAAAAAAGACTCATGGGATAGAGGAGACACCACGAAAAAAAAAATCAAGGCTTCATGGAAGATAGTAAACTTCACTATCTATAAAATTCAACACAATTTTCCATTTCCCATGAATCAAATGCTTTTCTCCAGTCCTATCCAATCAGAAGTTTTCATTATATACAGCAAAACTTTAACAGAATGGGTAGAAAACCTGTTTTATCATGATTTGAATGAACTAATGCATGAATAAAGGTACATCTGGGTTAATCCAAACAGATCTGAAGCAATATGAATGGAAACATTTTTAATAAAAAGGAGAGAGTAGCAGCTATTCATACAAGCCTATTCTGGGGAGAGAGCATGTTAGAGAAGCTGGCTGAGGCTTTAGCAACCAAGCCTTACTGGTAGAGTGGCCCAATGGAGATGTCGAGTACACACTATGTTATAATGGAGCAATGTCACAGGCACCAAGGTAAAGCCAATGTACCCATCTTAGGCCTCAAACAACATCAGTTACAAATATTGCAGCTCACACTTTTGAGCCATGAAACAGAGCCTGACATGACAGAGGCCAGTGTAATACTACAAGTATTAACTGCTAGTATGGTGCTAACCAATCAGAAAGGGCACCTACTACTCTAACCATGTACATTTCACATTGGAATACCAACTGAACATTAGCTCCTGGTACAGGGGTGTGTATGGGCACACTGTGAGATGTTGGTGCTCCTTTCTCCAACAGCAAGGCTGCTCTGACCTTTATACAATTCTGTGTTGTTTACACCTCTCTGAGTCTGGTGCCATAGTGATTTGGGGGATACTCACAGAGACCCTGGGCTACATTTAAGTCATCTGGCATATGCTAATTACTCAGCTCATGAACACCCTATCACACTGCATGGAGAAGAAAGAATTTTACTGTAAAACTGGGCTTGGGAGACATTTGTGGCTTATAACCACATGCAAATGCACCCAAACATACACACACACATCTTAAGCTTTTCTATTACTGAAAATAACATTTTGGCTTTCTTTGACTGTGGAAGTACTCAGGGCAAGGAAAAAATCAGAACGGTCACTCTTATCCTAATTGTCAAATTACGGCTACAAGATGGAAAAAAGGTCCTAGTTTTGTTTTTTTTTTTCCCCCAAAGTAGGATGAAAGCCTCATTAGTGTGCTAGCAATCCTGCAAGGCCAAAAATGAAAAGGATGATAAGAATCAGTAATGCAAATAATTTGGGGGATGTGAATAACTTTTAGAGCCCATAAGTCAATATTAACACCTTGTGACTCACCTCTTATCCCATGGGCACATAATTTAGAATACATTTCTTCAAATGACAAAAGATCAGAGATGAGTGACCAACAATGAATATGAATTTTTAAAACGGGGTAACAGAAATATTAATCTTTTATAATAATTATAAATTCCCTCTGCATTCTCCACATACCATAAAAATGATTTGGTTTAGCTTTCAAATATCATTTAAACAAACGAGACAGAGGGAAGTTCACTGCTGGGGTTTGCAAAGAGGAGCATCTGTTCATGTACAGATACCGCAGGGTGGCTGCTGAAAAGCTACTTTTATGTGCATGATGGTGGTCTTCTCGGCTACAGTACAAGTGCTTGTGCATCAAGTATAAAATACAAGCCTTTAATCACATAGATCAGCTTTTTAGCTTTTGTAAATTTAAAAACAAAAAGGATAAATAAGGCACTGTACTTTTAAAAACTAAAACTGCTTGGTTCCAAGTTTAAAACCCAAGGAACAACCAGAATATAATATATAACTTCCCTTACTCAGCCTCAGAGAAAGACTCTGCAAGTTCCCTTCTCCATCTGAGACGCAATTTCTGACATCTTAAATTGTGGTGTTCTCCATTAACTGCAGATCTGAAAGGCTTGATAAGCTTATAAAAGCAGATTTAGTTAATGCAAAATAAAGGGTTACTTCTATAGAACAGTTTTAACTCTTGAATACTGCCCTTCCAATCACTTTGTATCCATCCGCCTCCGTTTGCTGTGGGAAGAGTCCAGCTTTGCCTTCAGCTTTCGCTTTCTCTGGGCTGCACTGTTCTCTGGGGTTTTCGTCGAGGGTCTGGCCCGAGTCTTTCCACTGCTCTGCTTCCTATTTGTGGCTTTCTGTGGCCTTGAAGAGGACTCGCCTGCCCCTTTTTGCTTTGCAGGTTTTGTCACTATCTCCGAGGGGGAGGGCTGGGTAGGTCTTTTGTTTGTATTCTCTTTTTCTTTCCTGGAGGGAGGGCAGCTCTTCCCAGGTGACTTTTTAGGAATCTTCCCTTTCTTCTCTTTCAAAGTCGTCTTTTTGGGCAGTTGGTTGACTCTGTCCCTTGCAGCTGGCTTCTTGGCAGCGGGGGTTCTGGTGGATCCATCAACGTGCTTTTCTCTGCTGGCCTTCATCGCAGCTCCCTTGTCCTTCCTGTCCTGAGTGCTGCCGCCTTCTGTCCTCTTGCGTTTATTCTGAACTTCTGCTTTCGGCGAGATTTCAGACGTCTGCTTCCCTTTCCTTCCCTTCATTCCATCGGTACTCTTGGGCTTAACAGGAAACCCATCTGCACCTACTTGCAGGGCAAGCTTGGGGGACATCAGAGGGTTGATGCACACACTCTTACAACTCTGTTTACTTTCCACAGCCGGACCAAATGGGCTTTCCACTTTCTCATTCTTGATCAAACGCTGCTGGGCTCTGAGCTTTCCTCGAATGTTGGAGTATTTTCTAAGGATTCGGGTACTGGCAGGGGTAGGTGAGTTTGTGGGAGGATGGCTATTTCTACCTTCCTTGACCTCCTCTATGCTGTCTTCAGGATTGGGGCTGAGGCTAACGTCACTGTCATCCTCTGGCTCCACTTGGTCAGGATCCTCTCGGAATTTAGCCCAGAGCTTCTGTGTTTTCCAATTGTTCCTAGCAGGAGTAGCTCCGGGAAATTTCTTCAAGTGTTTCTTCAGGCGTTCAGCCTGGAGTGAACTGGGGTACAGGCTGCAAGGAGAGTACTTCTGAAGAGGATGCTTGACAGGTGGGATGTCTCCCGGAAGACGAGTATTGAGCTTCTTCACAATTACCAGAGACCGGGTTTCAGTTGTCTCTAAGAACCACTTGCAAACATTAGATAATTTAAAGTTTGTCATAAACAGCATCTGAACAGGAGAAAACTTTTGAACCTCCAGTGAACCCCGACATTTCCGTGACCTTTTCTTGCTTTTCCAAATTTCCTTCAGCTTATCTGACTTGTTCCTTGCTCTTGGTGCTGGCTGGGCTTCTTTCTCCAGCTGGATCCAGCCCTTCTGAACTTTCATGTACTGGGCATTGAAATTGGCGATGAGCTCTTGGTTCTCCTCCTCGGCACACCATTCTACAAACTTTGGCTGGTCGTCTGCCACTGTGTCCACATCATCCTCGTCTAAGGGATCTCCACTCTCTGAAGTTTCATTTTCCTTTGGCATTGTGTTTCCTTGTGCTGCTTCCTTTTCGGAAGTCACTTTTATAGTATCCAAGGAGTCCAGAGAATGAGCATGTCTTAGGTTGTAGGTTGAGGAGGTCAGTCTTGTAAGCCTTGGGACCCATTTTGGGGGCCCAGCAGCGTCATCACTTCTACTACTTGACAATCCAACTGTGCTAGATAGCACGTCACTGTCGTCATCTTTACGCGGGCTGTCCGCACTGTCTATATCATTTACAACCTCTTCTGTCTCTTGTGCAGGAACAGGTCCTGGCTTCTCTTTTGATTGTTCTGGGAACGTACAAGGAATGCTTTCAGAGGGGTCTTGAGTACTGTTCTCACCTAATTTAGACTGAACATAGATTTCCAGTTTCTCTCCAGGCAGGGGCTGGCCAACTGTGGCTAAGGGGTCACTGCTGGGGAAAACACCTTCTTCTTCCCCCTTGACTTCTTTTGCTAGCATGTTTTTAAAAGCCTGCCTGGTGATCATCCCACCTCCTTCGCCCTCCTGCTCAGCATCTTTCCCAGAGGGGTTTTCATTGACATTTGGGTTTTCAGTGTCCTCCAGAGTTTTTGTATGGAAACCTTCAGTCAGGAAGCTCTCAGGTGCTGCCCCACCAGGATACCCTTCTTTTTTAGAACGTTTTGCACCAGGATTTTTAGAAACCTTGATCTCAGCACAAGCAGAGGAAGAATCTGAACTTTGATTTCTTAGGCACCTATCGGCAGAGGAAGAATCTGAAAGTTGACTTCTTAGGCACCTATCAGAGGCCTCGGGGAATTTTTTACCTTTTTTCTTCTTGTCCAGATTCTCTTCAGGTGAGTCAATGTTTTGATCACACATATCTTTTTCTGTAGGATGTTTTGCATCACCATCCTCTCCCTCGAATTTTCCTGTACCACCTGGTGCCTCGCTTTCCTCAATTTCACTGGGGTTTTCATTAGTCAAAGTGCTGCTTTCCTTCAAGAGTGGGTCAGTATCTAACTCCTGAGCGTCTTCGGTCTCAGCCTCAGTACCGATGCTTTGGTCTTCCTCAGCCTTTCCCAGACTCGTGGGAGGCTCCAAGCCCACTGGGGGACTTTGATTTTCTGAGCACAGAGGACTTTCCTCTCTACTTGCTGTTTCAGGAGGGGAACAAGGCCTAGGAACAACATCTTCACTGCCTCCCTCAGAAAGGCTCTCTGTGGAGGGAAGCAGGGGACAGTCTTGGGGTACACTCATCTCCTTTGTATCTAGCAGTTCAACTGGCGGTTGGTCTCGTTCAGGGGAAGATATCCCGCTTCCTGTGGGAGCTGAGACCGCGGAGCTGCCTTCTGGAAGATCCTCTTCAGGAAGGTGAGCAGGGAGAGGCCACGCTGGGTTGGAGGCTGCTGTCTCCTTTGATCTAGAGGAGCTGCTTGGGTTTGCGTTATTTGTCACAGGGCAAACCTCAGGCTCTTGAGATTCCTTTTCAGATGATGCATCTCTGTCTCCTTCCTTGAGGGAGGTTATTTCTTTACTAGGTTCTTCAGGGTTGTCTTCTCTGGGATGCTGCACATCTACTGTAGGCTGAGGTGATGAAATGATAAGGGTCTGCTTGGGAGTCACCACTGCCTCTGAGGCCAGTGTCGAGCAGCTGGCTTTTTCTTGGGAGTGTAAATTCCTGGCCAGTGTGCGAACAGTTGGCAGCTCACAACAATCACCATTGAAAAAGTATCCTCGAGTACTCTTCCTGGCTGTTTTCCGAGAAGATAACACCGATCGTTGATTCTCAAAGTGGCATTCTGTTATTGGCTGGCTGATATAAACGACATCACATTGGTTATCATAATCGTTTATCCTCAACCCTGATGCCCTTTTACTTTTCCGAGCTGTCTTAATGGAGGCTGAAAGCATCCTGGTTCGTGAATGTCCATTAGATGCTTTGTGTACAGGTGGCATGGGGCTGGGGGCTAACCAACCGTCTTTGGAATGATCAAACTGGCTCTTATCACTGGGCTGTAAATGGTAACCCATTTTATTTCTTCCTAATGAGTGAAGATGGTTCTCTTGCTTTGGCCTTGAATCTTGTTCACTTGCCTCTAAATCCTGGCGTAAAGGTGTTTTTGAGCTACACTGTAAAGCATTCTCTTTGTCAGCAGTTCTAGGTGAATTCCCCATAAACCCTGAGTCCCAAGCCTCTTCTGATAAAGCTCTGAATGAATTTCTTTGAGAAACAATACAGCTGTTGCTCTCCTCACTATTCTCGGTTGCCACTTTTACTGCGATTAGATTTTCTACTAAAGCTGAACTCTGCACATGGTCTTTACCATCCTTGCATATTTTCACATCTGTGTCTTGCTCCTGTCCAGTGGTTTGCCCCTCCAAGCTCTTAGAGATGTGGTGGAAGTTTACTGAGGAAGAATTAGATGTAGTGAGGTATCCCAGAGTGGAACTATCCATTGAATTCGGTTTAGTGGTTGGAAGTTCAGAGGAATCTTTTTGGACAACAGTCAAAGTATTCTCTCTTCCGTCTACAGAGTTTGTCTCGGGAGGAGGCTCCTTTAGGGCCTGTTCTGTCAAGTGTTGAGGGCTGTGAGGGCCTGATGGGTCTATGAACAACTCTACAGAAGTAGAAGACTTCATATTGAGACACACGGCATCCTTTTCCTTACGTCTGGTGCCGAGCTGGGCACAGCCAGCACTGCAGGTGGAGGCATCCATTGCTGCAGAGCCCGAGGGTCGCCGGTCCCCGGCGCCTGGCTGAGGCTCAGCGTACAGATCGTTCAGAACACGGATGAGCTGCTTCTGATGGTGAGTGCACAGCTTGACCATAAACTTCTCCAGCGGGGACTTCGACTGATCGTTAGAATCTACTGCTATCGCCTCCGCTGAGTTCTCACTAGACAGACAAAAAGAGAGAAGAAGTTACTATGGTTATTTTCCAAAGAACCATTTGTACATTATGAAATTCATCGATGTTGCTCATGTTGTACAGAGAATTGACACTCTGGCCAAAGCTGGTTCTAAGTGCCCATGTGCTTTTTATTCAATGAATGAGGAGCATTTACTTCGTTAAAATATGAGGCCAGCCCTGTTATATTCTCAATCTTTAGTGACAACTTTCATACTTTTTTTTTTGCGGTACGCGGGCCTCTCACTGTTGTGGCCTCTCCCGCCGCGGAGCACAGGCTCCGGACGCGCAGGCTCAGCAGCCATGGCTCACGGGCCCAGCTGCTCCGCGGCACGTGGGATCTTCCCGGACCGGGGCACGAACCCGTGTCCCCTGCATCGGCAGGCGGACTCTCAACCACTGTGCCACCAGGGAAGCCCAACTTTCATACTTTTAAAGTGATTATTCACAAATAATTTTTATCTTATAGAGAAGAAATATCATTGAAATGAAATTTTTCTTCAAAAATTAAAATTTTGGCCACATTATTAACTTCAGTTGGTCAACATACACTTTCGTTTTAGGCCCGAGTATTCCTGTTAAATAATCACTGGCTCATAGATTCACAACACTGAAAAAAATTCAGACACACTGTATTACAAGTCTTGGTTTAGCAATACTTAGAGAAATTACAGTTTTAAATGGCTTGACCAGTTGGCTGGACTCTATAATTCTGCAAACAGTGATGCAGGAATCCTCCTAACCCTTTGGGGCATGGAGAAATAGAGATCAATAATTTCACATTTCGGATACACTGAAAGATGAATGACAAGCAATTCCTAACTCCTAGCCTCTAAATGAGGACACAGATGTGAAATTAAATTGTAAACCATAAGGCCCTGTCAATGCAAGATAGTAGCATTGTCGCTTCTCAAGCCCCACCTATTACCTTCTCCTAGACCTTCAATAAACATTTTACAGTAACGCACAGGAAGCCAATTCTACGTTCAAGAACACTTTTCAACCATTTCCGTAAATTATCTAGGACAACTCTTAGAGTTTAACCAGGATAGTGGGGAAGGCAGAAAAAGGATGATACTAGATTGAGGACAGGCTAAAGGCAATTTCTGCCTAGATAGCCAAGTGTTTTCAAGAGCTGTCTTGTATTTCTGGACGTCGGGATTTTTACTAAGCCCATGCAGTTGGTGTGTCCCAGTTTTCTGGAGCTTTATACAACTTCTCAATCTCTCTCTCTCTCTCCCGCCTAATTCCTTAGAAGACTATTATCTGACTCTTTATGTAACACAGCAAAGCACCAAGGGCAGCTTAATAAATGTGTGCTGAACAGATGCTGTTTGATAATATCTTCCAGCTAATTATTTTTTCTTCAATCTGTGACTTTATCTCCCAGTCATGAAGTGCCTCTATAGGAAGGTGTACTCTAGACAGCCTACATCGGCCTCCTACCTCCCTACCCTCTTCTGGCCTCTGAAGCCGTGTGGTTTTAGTGGAAAGAGCACAGATTGTGGAATATGAAAAACCTGTCTTCTTCTTGTCGCTCTGACATTTACTAGCTATAGGATCTCAGGCAAATTACTTAACCTCTCTGAACCTTGGTTTCCTTATCTGTAAGCTGGAACTGAGTATCAATATTTCAAAGGATTGTTGTGAGATATTAGATTACATAAAGCACAAAAGAGCAGGTGCTCAATTTTACTTTCTCTGTTCCTGACTCATGCAGATTTTTAAGACCAAGTGGTGAATAACGCTGAAACATGTCTAAATACAAAACAAAATAACACCAAGAAACTATTAATCCAATCTGTTATTTAAACTGTTTTGCAAGAAAAAAGGTTACACTGTGTTTTTATTTTCACAACTAGCAAGAGAGCAGTTTTCTTTAGTGATGCCATGGGTATCTGAAAAGGTCTACATTAGACTACAGATTAGAAAAACTAGAAATGTCTTAGAAAATGCCTACACCTCAGTGTGAAACTGATCACTGAATTGTGAATAAACCAAGAAAAAGGTTATTATAGAAGCATTATAACAGATGCATGGGTACGCTGAACATGTACATGCTGGCTACGGGGCCAAAATCTACCAAAGAGACGGAAAGACCAAGAGCAACTGGAAAAAAACCTCACTGAACAGGATACTTATGATACGTATATTTTTCTGTCTGTATACTGTCCTTCGGTAAAAAGTTTTAGAAAGGAAATATCTGGAAGGTCAACAGGAAGAAGTTCCTCCCTTCCTTTAGAGCGGGGGAGACACCAGTGACACTCTAGGGTGAGTGACTGCAAAGTCATTTCCACCTCTCGGACTCAATGAGATATACGTGGGAACTTAACAAACTCCTCCTGCAGCTGCAGACTTTGTAGCTCACGGGGAAGTCAGGAGGTCCCTGCTGAAGGGACCTCTTCCAGGAGGTACCTTGTGTCCATGTCCATCACGTGTTACTAACAACATAATATGTGTCACAGGATATAGTACTGGGAGACAGTAGAGAGTAGTCTACCCTTTACTAGTTGTGTGACCTTGGCCAAAACACTGAACTATTTTGGGTCTTAGTGGAGCACCTGTCCCATCTACCACTTAGGACTGCTACAAAAGAAAACCTACAAAGTTTACACAAATACTGGTTACCATTACTGTCAGCCAATCCCATTAAACATGCTTCAATAAGAATAACTCAGAGACCAGGAATGTATATTAATACTTTTTACAACCCCCCAAAGAGGATTTTCTAGATAATGAAAGTTTACCCTTCAAGTACCAAACATTTAAAAATTTAAGTATTTTTGATGGAAGTTTTTAAAAAATTATATCATCCTCTGAACACAATTTATTCTTTCTTAATGACTCAGAGTCATTACCATGTACACTATTATTGAAGTTTGGCTATTATTTTTATTATACTGAACTGAAATATATTGATAGTTTTGGGGGCTACTCAATTAAGTAAATCTACTGCCTAAATACAAAGAAGTCACGGTGGCAGTCTGCATTTTATTAAAAATCTGTCTGCATTTTATTAAAAATCTTTCTTCTTATTGGCCTCCAAATAGCAGCTGTGTTTAGGAGTCCCACTTTTACCTTTAGCTGAGTACTTTTGCTCACTAGCTGAGAAGCCAAATCTCAAGTGCTAGACTGGTACTTCAAGTGAAAGTAAACAAGCTCTGAATGAAGGCTTGGGGAAGAGTTTTGTGAGTAAACCACATGGATCTTCTAACAACAACTTCAACTGCTCAGAGCCCTTTATTTCTGTTTTTGGTTCTTGGATGTGTTCCTGATATTTCTGAGATAGGTGGCTACAAATAAGTGAGATATTACTGCCTTTTCAATGCATCAAATACACTCTACGTATATTTTAGCAATACAAGAAAAGAGAAAAAAGGTTGACAAAGATCTATGAGAAGGATTAAGAAATGTCATGGCACCTTATTGTAGAAAAGACTAAAGAGAGAAATAAATGGTTCTCCCCAATTCAAGAAGTGCACTCATGTGAAAATGTCTGGACACTGCTTCATGGCTGTGAAGCCATGGCTGTGCTCTGGAAGCAGGCTTTGGTGTCTGAAGTTAACAACATGTCTTGAGATTCATGAAATCAAGGTGTGTGTCCAATAAAAGTACAGAGAGCTCTGAAGAAAAACTGAGGAAGCACTTTCTTCTAAAGCGATGCTCACAGAGAGTAAAAAACTGAATAATGATTAATCCTTGGATGATACCTAACTTCCTTTATGGTTATGAAACTTGGATTTGCTGCTGTCCCACATGTTTCAATAATTTAACAGTGACTGAATATTTTAGTCACCCCCAAACTAATGTAAGGTCTTCCAAAGGGCCATGCAATCAGCTCTGAAGCAATAATTGTGACAATACGGCTAGTCCCCAAGGACAAAACAGTCAACCAACCACCAGTAGGTATTATCTATTTCACAGCATCATGGCAAGGGGAAGTGGTGTCTTCCCAACTAAGGCATACTGAAGAAACATTGTTAGTACCACTGAACTCTAACCTGGAACAATGCAGTACAGCATTTGGAGGCTGAAAAACAGCATCACAGAGGCGGACACAGACTACACCAACCTTAAAACGCATTTATAGCAGTGGTTTGGGGAAGCTCAGGAGATGAAAAGATTAAAACTGAAAATGGCAACTTTGCTTGAGAGAAAGAGAAATCAACAAAGGGTTGTTTTGTGTGTATTTTCCCGGTAAAAAGGATCAGGGACAATGTACTGGTGAACCACAGGTCACCAGAGCAAGCAGTAGGGTGCTCTTTATCAGTTACATCCTTGGCCACCTCAAAGCTATCAATCTGGAGTGACTATATCATTTCCTGAAATCCTAAGCTATAGTGGTTTGTAAAATTCTTTGGCAATGATCAGGGGTTTTGTATATTTACCCTATAATTTGTATCTTTTACTGACTTAATTTGTCTTGTGTTTGTCTTAGCTTTCCAAGTAGATGTAAGCTACTTGAGTGTAGGTAGGGGCCACATTTCATGTTTTTCTGTTTCCTCTTAGCAAAAAAGAGGGGGAGGGAAAGGGAGCATCAATGATGCTTCCTGAGTTTGCTTCTTGGATTTTCTTCCTAGGTAGCACCATTTACTGAGATAGGAACACAGGCAACGAAGCTGGCAGCTGGTGATTGTTGGGGTATATGTATCTGAAGAGTTCTGTACACACTGACTTGAAATTTTTATAAGATGCTGAATCTGAGATATCTGGTAGGCAACTGGACACACAGGTATGAGCCCACTAGTAGCTTCACTTGAATATGAGAACCTCCACATTAATACTAACCTTTGTCCAAGTGTCATTAAATGGGCCCTGTTATAATAGCTAACTTTATAACTATAGTAATAAAATTACTTTTGACTGTGCTTCGAAATTACCCAGCTTCCTACCTTATTTGATTTTCTCTGGAAGTTTTTTCAGTAAGACCTATGTTTAGATGAATTTTAATTTCGTATCATTCAACTACTTAATTTCAAAAATTAACA